AGGAGGAGGAGGAGGAGGAGGAGGAGGAGCTGGGAGCGGGGAAGGGTTGAGGAGGAAGAGTGGAACCTTGCCAGGCCAGTGGGGGGCAGGAGGAGGACGAGACTCGGGGGCGCTCCGAGCCTCCAGCGGCTGCCACGCCGTGGAGTAGAGCGCCTTCTGCGTCGCGTCTACGCGCCCCGTGGCCTGCAGCACGCGCCGGAGGTGCTCGTCGCGCACCTCCTGCAGGTGCACGTGCTCGAAGTAGAGCAGCGCCTCGCCTGGGACGCGGAAGGACATACAAGTAGTCTGCAACCCCAATTGGAGGCGCACGCCTGAACCAAACGTGCAGCACAAACATGTTATCCGCCGCTGGCTTTCTGCTCCCTGCTCCAGTTCCAGCTTCAGGTCTCCACTATTATAATCCGACGTTCTGCTTCCTACTGTGAATTATAAAAATCCGCGCGAATTTTTCTGGCTGGGACACGTAAAAATACATCAGATTCGCGCCCCCGAGACCATATCATAGTGGCGCCACCGAGGCCATGATCCTTTCTGTAAATTACACCAGATTCGCGTCCACGCGGCCATAAACCCTCGCAGGTTACGCCGTGTTCGCGCTCCTGAGACCAGATTCGTTTTAAAGTATACACTGTTCGCGTCTCCAAGGCAATACTCTTTCTCTCTCTCTCTCTCTCTCTCTCTATCCCTCTTCCTCTCTCGAATAGAATATATAATCGCTGCGTCCCCGAAGCCACGATCCCTCGTACTTTACGCGTTCTTCGCGTCCCCGAAATCACAAGCCCTCATGAAGTACTCAATATTCACGCTTTCGAAACCACAATCCTTCATAGAAGGCTTCCAGGACGGTACAAGGAGCCTCCGAGACGGCCCAGGAGTGTTCCAAGGCGCCCAAGATGGTCCCAAGACGGCCCGAGAGACTCCCAAGAGGCCCCCAGAACGCTCCAAGAGCACCCCCGCGAGGGGCCCAAGAGACCAACATCTGCGATGCTCCTCAGGTTTGTGATGGATTTTGGCACGCTCATATCTCCAGCGGCCCCCGTTCGAAGTTCCGACGCTGCTTCACGACGGCGCCCAGGCCTCACAACATGGCTCTTGCATTCCCCATTCTCCGAGAGAGGGGGCCGGCGGCAGGGGGCGAAGCCCTTACGGATAGTATAGTATATCGGGACTCTGGCGATGGGGTGGGAAGAGGAGGAGGAGGAGTGTGGACAACAAGATCTCTGAGCGCGCGCATCGCCTCCGGGGGGCCGGTGCATACACGTAGTCTAAGCGTGTGTGCTTGGGCGGTGCCGATCGCCTGCGTCGTTCAGCGTCCAGGAGCGGAACACCGTGGAGTGCTCGGTGTACTCGAGGAGCTGGAAGTGCGACCACACCTGGCGGAACGAAGGGAATGGATGTCTGCCCCGTCGCGTCGCGAAAGCATCACGCAGGGAGGTGTTTGGCAATGTTCGGCCTCTGGGGGCCCTCGCCGAGCCGCGTGGCCGTCAAAGAAACGGCTCAGGATGAAAATTCAGTCCCGGGGGATGGGTCCAAACCTCCGGGAGTCCACGTTGTAAAAAAAACAGACACACACACGCACACAACAACAACAACAACAACAACAACAACAACAACAACAACAACAACAACAACAACAACAACAACAGCAGCAACAACAACAACAATACCAACAACCACAACCACAACCACAACAACAACAACAACAGCAGCAGCAGCAACAACAACATCAACAGCAACAACAACAGCAGCAGCAGCAACAACAACAACAACAACAACAACAACAATTACTAGCACGTGGGGACACTCCGTTCTCACCAGTGCCAGGGTTTTCATAGGAGGCGGGCAATACCCCCACTTTGTGGGGGGGCCGGTTCAAGCTCTACCAAATTTCCAAACGACTCTTCGCCACCACCCACACCCAGCTTCCCGCCCTATGACGTTCGGACACTTCACTTCGTGGCATGCGGACGACCGTGGCTACTATTCAGGGCCCCGCGGCCGACGACGACGGCGTGCGCGCGCGAAGAAAAAACGAATGTGTCCCGCATGGTATTATTTGACAGGGATGATGGCCCTGGCAGGTGCGCAACCGTTGTCGCAAAAGTTCGAAAAAGTTGCTCGCAAAAGCCCGTTTGACAGAAATGTTTAAAAAGTGTTGGGTTTCCTACGAATCCGCAAGAGCGCGCGGGATGAGATTTTGACAATTGTTTGTTGAAAAACCATTGGTTTTTTGATGTTTTTATGTTAAAATCGCTGCGAACACTAAGGTTTTGGAAGGATTTCGTCTTGCGCGCGCGAATGTCCACTTTACCTTATTTTTTGCAAGGGATTCTTGAAATTTGATTATATTAGAACAAGAAATGTCATTTTCTATTGTTTTTTGCAAGGGAAAGCGGATTACAACAAAACAACCGGATCCTGTACACACCCTCTTTTCTGAGGCTTCCTCACGAAAATGATGAAAATGTAGCTGCGGCCTAGGCGGCGCAGGGGGGGCGCGCACCAGGGGGCCCAACAATAATTATTCTTTAGAATAAATAATGTTCAACAACAACAACAAAGAACGACGTCGGAGTTGTGGGGATGCCTGCCGCACCCAGGAAGACGAGCGGCACGGGAGAGAAGGGGAGGGGAGAGGGGAGGGCGCCAGGCAGAGGCGAGGATACCAAGGGGAGGGGAGCATAGCCGAAGAGGGGAAGGAGGAGGAGCAGGAGCAGGGGGGAAGGGGAAGGGAGAGGAGCAGAAGAGGGGGAGAGGGGGAGAGATGCCAGGGAGAGGAGAGTAAGGGCGAGGGGAGGAGGAGGGAAACGCCTGGGAGGGAAGCGGCGGGAGGGCGCGGGGGGAAGACAGGGGTGACGAAGATGCACGTTCTGCTGTCTTCCCCGCACCGCGATGGAGAACGGCCGGCCGGTCGGCTGCAGCCTCTTGATGGACAGCGGGATCTTGAGGGAGCCGAGGCCAACCTCGACGGCAGATGCAAAAGGGGCCCTGCAGACGGGGGTGGGAGGGATCGCAAGACGAACCCAGGACGAAGATAAAATCGGGTGAGAAATCGAGAATATCTGAGATCTGGCGGCTCTGAACGGTGTCTCGGGCGCCGCGGCCCATTCAGAGGAGGAGGAGGAGGAGGAGGAGGAGGAGGAGGAGGAGGAGGAGGAGGAGGAGGAGGAGAAAGAGAGGAGGAGGAGCAGGGGGGGCGGGCGGATCTGGCTGCCACGCCCCTGCAGGCGGAGCAGCCAGGCGGCGCAGCCCTCCACCAGACCCGAGGGGCCCTTCGCCGGGCCCGGCCCCGCCGAGCCCGGCGGACCCCGCGGGGCCTCCGGGTCCGCGAGGGACATGAGGGCCTGGAAGGAGCTGTCGATCACGGACGGGCCCAGCAAGAAGCCCACCTGCGTGCCGTCGCGTTCCATCTCCAGGCGCGCGAGGCCCTGGCGGTCCCCCTTCTGGACCTGCCGCACGGCGCGGAAGCGCGGCTGCAGCGGCAGGCCGACGTCCACGCCCAGGGAGTACATGGCGTCGATCTCCACGTGGTCTGGGCACCTTCCCACCCCACACCCTGGGCGCGGGGGCGCCCTCGGGTCATGAAAAAATCACGACGGCAGATTTGCTCATTATGTTCGGACCTCTGGTGGTCCTGGCCGGGCCTCGGGACCGTCCAAAACAAAACGACTCGGGATGCGAATCCAGCCCCGGGGAAAGGGTCGGGACTTCCGGAGGCCGCGCGCTGGAAGAAAGCAGGCCGCCGCACGTCTGAGGGGGGATCCCTGGGGATCGAGGGGGCGACGGGAAAGAGCTCGGGAACCGTGTGCCGCGGACCCTGGGCGAGGGGCTGTGGCGCGGGCGCCCGTCCGAGCCCGAACGAGGAAGAGGGCCCTCTTCCGCACCCAGGGGGCTCGGAGGCGGGTGCGCCGCCAGCGGGGGTGACCAGGGCCCTGGGTAGCGGCGGCACCGAACGAGGCAGGAGCAGGGGGGGGGGGCAGGGCAGGGCGGGTTTCGAGTGGAGCTCCTGCGCTGGGGGAGAGCGAGAGGGGGTCGGGGAGCGGCCGGGCGGGCATCCCCAGGTAAGCGACGATCAAAAGCGGGTTTTACGCAAGATGACGCAGCGATCTGACGCCGCAGCTTACTCGGGCCGCCAGCGCGGCACGCTGCAACGGAAGCGAGGGCGCTCACGCGCGACCTTACGCGGTCAGCTTACGCGCCAATGTCGGCGCAAACGACCCCGTTTTCTTCTGTCGCTCAGGTGGAGCTGTTGGGCGAGGGGGCGTTGGACGAGGAGCCTGGAGCCCCTTGACACCGAGACGCTTCGAGCTTCTCCAGGGGGGCGGCTTCCAAGCCCCAGGGTATGTTGAAAGACCTTGGAGCTGGCACCGACAGACCCTACAGAGTGTCATGGCAGATCACCCTCAGAGCGTTACCTTCGTTCGCAAAGACAACACGACCTACTGCGGACTCGAATTTGGATTCGGAAACGGACTTGGACATTGATTCGGATCTGGCTTCGAGTGCGGAAACATAGCCGAATTCTGGTTGGGATTCCGACGTGGGGCTTGGATTCGGATGTGGCGTCGGTCGCCGACTCGACCTCGGGATCGAATTCGGACGGTGGCAAACTCTGACCTCGTGATCCCCGGGAGAACCCGAGGAGGTAGATAATCCCACCAGCACTCAGGGCGGAGGCGTTTTAGCGAAGTTCTCTTCCAAGCCCCTTTTGCCCCTTCGGGGAGGGGTTTATCACTGTTCTTTATTCGCCAGCACTTATCTCCCATTCGACCAGCCGCCGACCAGGAACCAGTCTCCCACCCCACATGGCGGCAAAATCTAGATCATGAGCAATTGCTCGCTAGCACATTGCGTTGATTGTTGACAGGGTTGGCGGGCGAAACACCTTTGTGTCCGCCACGCACTGGCCCACCAACCCTACCAACAACAAACTCTGACAGCTTGCTGGTCCACAAATCGTACATCATGCTGACCACCCAGGAACCACTTGGCACCAGTTTTTGTCAAAGATGGTGGGGTGGTCCACAGATTGACCGATCCATGCGGCACGTGCACTGGCGCACCTGGCGCTCTTCGGGCGCGTCGCGCGTACATGGCACATCTGGCTCACCCGGCGGGCCTGCGCGCTCGGGCCCCCTGGGGCACCTGGCGCACCCAGGGCGCGCAGCGCACCTGCCGCGCGTGGCGCACCTCGCGAATTTCGCGCACCTGGTTCCGTAACCCACCCTGGCTCAAGCCACGAGCGGGCCCCCTCAGCGGGGTCTCCCGCACTCGAGGGGGCGCCCGACGCAAACGGGCCCCGATGGCTGTCCATCTGGCGGCGACCTGCGCGTACGCTGCTGAGTCCCAGGTGCTGCCTACATGGTGGGAGGGCCCCACCGAGCCCGGCGCTCCGCGCCTCGCGCGCGCAGCCCCGACTGCCCCCGGCGGGTGGCGTACCGAAAAGGGGCGCCCCGCTACCAACGAGACAGACTGTGCCGTTCCCGTGGGGAATTGGATCAGTGCCCCTTCTTGATAAACACCCCCTCCCCCGCTCGACTGGGCGCCACCTGGGAGACATGAGCGCCCCCCCCACGATCCAAGTCGAAAGGCAATACCAGGTGCACGATCAGGAGCGGGCACTCCGCGACTACGTTGCTTTGGTTTCTGGTAAGGATGGCACCATCCTTGCCGAAAAAATGTTAAGTCCTCGCGGGTGCAAACACCATGCGCCACGCTGACCACCCCGCCGCAACTTTGCATTGGCTTTGACGGGGTTGGTGAGGGGGTCGACGAATTGCCCAATGTGTGCTGACACGTGCACTGGCGCACCTGGCGCACACTGCGCGCGTCGCGCACGTGGCGCACCTGGCGCGGCTGCCACCGCTACTGCTACGTCTCCAAATATGACGGTATTGGTCATGATCATGTTCGTGCTATTTTTGCGTATACCACATGCTGTTGCTGCTGCTGCTGCTGCTGCTGCTGCTGCTGGTGCTGCTGCTGCTGCTGCTGCTGTTGCTGTTGCTGTTGCTGATGCTGTTGCCGCTGCTGCCGCTGCAATTGAAACTGAAACTGATGCTGTTGATCTGGGGCTGGGGCGACAGCTCCATTTGGGGCTTAGAAAATGGCCAGCGCTGAAACGAGATTCCCATTTCTACCTCGGGACGCGATCA